CGGTTAGGTATTTAGACGAATCTAAACACGTGTCGTCTAACTACGGACAATTTGATGTTAAATTTGCTTTTTTTAGAATTGGCCTCCACACGTACGGGGGCCTGCGGGGCGCAATAATCCTACCCTCATAGTGTTATTTTTGTCCCTACCTGTATCTATTATCACAAATTAAAAGAACAGACTTAACCTGAGTAATAGAAACTCATATGAAACAGAACTGTATATATTTCAATACTCCAAAAACCATTAGAATATGCTCACAACCAATAACACATCATTGATATACTCCTCTCTCCTATCTTTATCTTACCGAGTCTGCATTCTTTCTTTTTATTTATGCATATTTTACTAATCACTCCCCTTTCAAACTGTGTTTTTAATTTTTTTACTGACATTGGAATTATTTTTGTACTTATTTTGAACAACTATATTAAATAGATGGAAATATTTGTTTAGACCAAATCGTTTGAGACCCACTGAGATAACTTAGACTAAAGTTTACAATATAATCACTCAGCGAGTCCTTTACCTCCCTGAGCTGATGTTATCTCAGCCTCTCAGTCCGACAGGAGAGGACTCTCCCTCTCCTTATTGTTTAAACAGCTTCTAATCTCCGTTAGCTCCAAGCTAGCACCAGATGCTAACAACAACCCCCGTAACTCTCTCTGTCTCTCTCTCTCTCACACAAAATGCGCTCCTGCCACACACACACGTGACGATGACCACTTGCGAAAAAAAACAAAAAAAAAACACACACATTTGAAAACTGGAAGGGACACAAATGGGATTTTGAAAAGTGGGGGGGACATGTCCCCCCTGTCCCCAGTGGAAATTACGCCCATGGAAGTACACACTGCACTATTGGCAGATAAGGCTTTAAAATGAAATATCCCGGCCAGTAATGAACATTTCCTCAGATGTTACATTTAAATCAATATACCATGTTTTTCATATAACCTTAGTTTTAAATAGCTTTCTTATTTTGCCCAGTCAATGTTTTGCAATGTCTGCATCGGCCAGTAAGCCATCACAAGAACATGTGGCACTTTGATACCGATTGTTGGCTCCATTTCAGCTTAAAACTGGAAGTTCTCTGCAACTAGGTGGAAAAAAAATATTTGCGTATATCGGCAATTGGTCAAAATTAGTTTGAAAATATCGCCATATCTGAATAAAAAAATCAATATCATCCTTTCCTAGTTTAGTGGCAATACAAATAACTATGTAGCTATTGGAAACCAAGGTCTGATAAATAGAGAGCCTTTCTTAGTATGGCGTTTCATATGAAGGGTTTATTACATATGAGCAGTGGCGTTTTTACAAAATTGGTGGGGCACGAACAACTTAGATGTGTATATATAAGCTTCTGGTGCTTTTTTAAACACGTAAAAAAAATCTACCCAATATTCGACAGAGAGAGGGGGGGAGTGTCAAATGACATACTGTCGGAAGCCGCGAATTATGAACACGGAGCAACACTGTCAGCACATACATTTACGTACACAGCCTGGGGATGTCATATTGTAATGCACCTTAATACATGGAATAAAGGGCACCATCACAAAGCAATACTTAACAATAACAACACCCGTAATGCTTCAGCATTAAAACACCATAGACTGTAAATATAAGGAAAACACAGACACTCATCACAGAGGTCACAATATCAATCGATCCAGCAGAGCAATAGCCTATAGGCAAAACATAGAAGATCAACAACATATATGACATAAAATGAACTTACCAAAGCTGAAGTAGATGGTCAACTTCATTCATTTTCTTTCCGTTTTACTGATTTTAATTGCTACAAGCTGCTCTCTCTCGTCTCCTCTTCACAACTACACTTTTTGCGGCACACATACTTACATCCAATCAGCTCTGAATTATGAGATGACGTTTTGGTGGGGGTTCCAACACTTTGCCCCACTGGTGATTTTTTTTTTGCCGCACACATTAAATAGAAAAATACTCTGAGCATGCGCAGTGTAGTTTTTACAGCACCCATTCATTTTGACAGCAGAGAGAGTTTACACGCTCAATAGGCACACTTTAGACACTAATTACAAGAACGCAGACTAAAACAGCAATGTACAGACGAATCCGGTGACTAAACATGATCTTAAAATATATTTTAAGATAAGATATATTTTTTGAATTATTATTTTAATTACTTTCTGCTAAATAAACTAATGACGAGTCGCCACTGCATATGAGGAGAACTATTTAGCTTTACTGTCTAAGAACCTCAATCTCATAGAAGTAAAACACTTAATGACTCGGATACCCTAGTCATTAAGTGTTTTACTTCTATGAGATTGAGGTTCAGCCTTTTAAAAATATTTTTGGAGTGTCATTGTAAAAGGTTTATTTGGTATCTGTTTCAGCAGTGATGCAGGTGAGCCGGACGCAGAGTTTGGGACGACAGCTGAAATCTATGCATACCGAGAAGAGCAGGAGTATGGCATTGAAACTGTGAAAGTGAAAGCTGTGGGAAGGCAGAGGTTTAAGGTCCATGAGATAAGAACTCAAGCAGACGGGTAAGTTTAATTGCGTCTTAAACCATTACAGCAAAGTTTAGGACTAAATACATGTGCACATTTTAATGAGAGCTTGAATATATAAATAAAAATGTTAACATTATGTTGTGGTCTTCATGTTGTGAGCCTGTGGCTGTCTGCAGGAATCTGAGCCCTGCAGGTATTCATCATCTAGCCATGGACTGATTTAAACAGGAATATAAGCTGAATGTTATCATCTGTTATGAAACATATTATAAGACAGAAAACCAGCAGCAGTTTAGACTAGGACTCCAAATCAGTGGATCATCTACGTATATATGAGTGTGCCTCTACATTCATTTCTTCAAATTGAAAATATTCAATCAATTCATTTGTTCTATCAAAACAATTAAGATTAACTTTGAAGTTTCAGTTTCTTACATACTGTACGTGATTACTCAGCAAAGTCAGGACTTTTTTCAATGCGACTCAGTTGGTGCTCTTATAGTTCACACAGCTAGAGGGCAGACTAACTATTCACAGTCATCTTCAAAAAGTAAAGACAATAACATTCAAACTATTTGTTTGTGGAGTTACTTCTTTACATTTAAAGATTCAGTTTTTTGTACAATAATAATTTGTTGTGACTTGTTGAGGAAGGGTTAATTCTGTTGGTTGAGTTATTCTGCTTCATGCTCTCGAGAGGGTTTAGTTTATTTGTAATCATCTGTGTGGGTTTTAAGTTGAGTCCTCTTGTTGGAGAGTACAGTAAACAACGGAAGCATCTATGGAGAAAAGCTGCCTATTAAACCACTGGTTGTGCTATATATCATGGTTACTTACATCCTCCACCGTTCAGGAAATCATTGAGCTTTAAAGTCCATTAAACTTGATCTCCATACAGACATCTTTCCCTCTATCTTTAGTTGCTGTTGTGTAATGCGCATAAATCGGTTGCCATAATCCTGTTGACCTTGTGTTGTGACCCCAGCAACCATAGAATTGAAGTAATTGCACACTTACAGGGAATCTGCTGTTCTGCGCTCTGTATTCTGTACATAGCCTTCTCTACCTCTCTGTAATGCCTCTCAAACATTTCTGAATGTGCAACCTTTGGATGTTGGATCCCTGAATAAAAAGCAAAAAACAAACATTTAAAAATACCTTTCTACTGCCATCATATTGTGGCAGTGTTGTGGATTTATTTGCTGTTGTTCATACATAAGAAAGAAAATGAACATTGTGTTTGTGCATGATTGAAGTGAATGATGTTTTATGTGTTTATTCTTGCACTTGGTTACACCTGAAGATTTTTATTTTATTTCTCTTGTGACGTTGCTTAGTGAACGTTTGTTTGTCTGAGCTCCACAGTCTGTGTTTGGTGAAGTATTTCTTATGGCTGACAGAGAAATTGTACAGACGGCACCTTTTTATGATCATCTCCCCGTTACAAACATCCTGTCATACACCTGATAGCATTTTGCCATCACACCATTTGTTTAATCTGCTATTCATCCGCTCTGTTTCACTCGCCTTCTGTTGCTCTCTTTCACATTTCTCTCCCTGCTTGTCTTTCTTTCCCTAACTTGTGTTTTTGTCTCCCTTGTATATTACATCAGGATCAGACAAGCCAAAGTACAGATCCTTCCAGAACGAATCCTTCCAGATCCCCTCTCTGCCGTGCAGATAGCACCCCTCACCAGGCTCAACATGCACCCCTCCTGCAAACCCCCGACTCAGACCTGCAAGCAGGCCCAGCGCTGGTGGAATAACTACCAGCAGGTCAGACACAAAAACACTCAGAGAAAATGCAGTACACATGTGCCGCAGTAACATGCAGATTCTTTTGCCATTACATACTTTACAATAACTTCATTCTCCATCACAAGGAAATGGAAATGGGACATGACAGCTCTGGTTACACCAACTGATAATATTTAAAGGGGCCCTATCATGCACATTTCAGGTTCAGATTTGTATTTGAAGCTTCTACTGTGAGATATTTAGTTGCTTTAATGTTCAAAAAGCTCTTTATTTTTCTCAAACTGTCTGTGCTGCTGCACCTCTTTTCACCCTCTGTCTGAAACCAGAGCCCTGTCTGCTCTGGTTGGTTAGCTTACCGGCTCTGTTGTGACTGGTCAACCTCTTAGAGATATCCCACCCCTTAGCCTATCATGCACAATGTGTTTGGGCACNCCCCACAGGGACGGTCTGTATATTTCTGAACACTTGCAGTTCTCATTTGAAGCTTTATTCCTGGAGGTACTGATATAATGATAATGTGCATTGATCAGAAATATACTGGACTACTGCAACAGCATCCTGTTTGGTTCAGCATCCAAAATTCTAAATAAACTGCAATATATCCAAAACTGCGCTGCCCGCCTCCTCACCCACACCCGCTCCAGAGACCACATCATCCCCGTCCGTCAAAACCTGCACTGGCTCCCTGTCCTTCAACGAATACACTTCAAAATCCTTCTGTTAACACACCAAGTTCTCAATAACCAGGCTCCCTCCCTACCTCACCGACCTGATCCACCAACACACCCCTTTCCGCACCCTTCGTTCATCAGAAGCGAACCTCCTTGCTATCCCCACACAAACCAAGCTCCGAACCTGGGGGGACAGAGCCTTCTCCATCGCTGCCCCCACCCTTTGGAACTCCCTTCCACAACACATCAGAGACTGCACCGACCCCCCCACCTTCAAAACACACCTCTTCAGACTGGCTTTTAATTTGTGAATTATGTTATGTTGCTGTTTTAATATATTTTTTATTCTATTATATGTGTTGCTATTATATCTCGTTTTATGCACTGTAAAGCGTCTTTGAGCACCTGAAAAAGCACTTGTAAATTAAATGTATTATTATTATTATTATTATTGGACTTGTTTGTTGTCGCATAAAGCTGTAATGTTTTGATCCATTTCCACCATCATAATACTGTAACTTCTCAGAAATAACCCCTCTGCGCTGAGAAATTATGTTTTCATTTTAAGATTATTTATTTGTGACCCTTTGTTTATAATTGAATAGTTCATGTAATGGAATAGTTAGAAATAAATCTTTTATTTTTTTTCTGTAACAATGTATACAGTTAGAACATGTTGACAGAACAACAGAATTACAAAGTAGGCAAAAGGAAAGAAGCACAGTCCTCATTCAGTGTTTCACAACCTAGTCTTGTTGATTATTTTGGTTTCCAAATATTATTTAAGCTGCAAGACAGAATTTTTGAAGATAACGTGCCCATGTGTGAACTAGTACACCTTTAAATCACTCCATCTTTCTCCAAATGTAAAGTGCCAAAGCCAAAGCTTTCTGATGATTGCTGATAAGCTCAGCCTTGGCTGTTCAATTTGACAGCTAGGATAACAAGGAAACATTTATTTTAGAGGAGAAATGCATTAAACTGGAATGTTCAAGACCACCTTATCTCAGGCACCCCCAGTGAAAATATTGACAGCACATGTCATGACATTCCTATCAAATGTAACTATAAACACTTTAATTGAATGTCCTTAGGACCGGATATTGGTTATACCACGATATGCAAGACAAAAACATGTTGATGTTGTTCCTATGACCAAATAGGATTTGATTTGATGTTAACATTGACAGATAGGAATCAATGGCTACAATGTCCCGTTCTAGAAATGAACATGGAAATCCTTTAACACAGTTTTAGAGGACAAACAAAATACTATGTAATTGAATATGCTGCCATCACAATATGAAAGCTCTTCTTCCTAAAAGGTCAATGCTACAGGGTTTTATTTTGCAGAGGAAGACATTTTCCAAAGCAAATGAGTGAATTCAAAAGACAGCAGATCAAACTCCTTTACAGAAAAATGTAAGACCTTTAAGGACGTCTTTGAAACTGCTGCTCACTCACTGGTTTTAATAGTGTGGGAGAAAATATTGCTGTCCATCCATGACCATTTTCCATCCAGTTTCAGGCCTTATTCCTCCTGGCATTGGATTCTCTCCAGCAGATGCTGCTCAACCCTCTGGTTCATGCGATGGAGATCTTTCAAAATACTGGGCTGATCTTCCAGCTCCTCGTGGAGACAGCGTGCTATCTCCAACCTCCTGTAGTCTTCTGCTCGTACCAGACGACGTATAACCTGAAGAGCACGATCCTTGAGGCTGTGTACTGTGTAAAGCAAACACGTTTTTGACAGTTGTTGAAAATTGTCTTTCAATCTTCAAGTGCAAAAAACAAACAAATTGAGGCCAGCCTAAAGTGGCCATTCAATAAACTGAACTCCCATTTGTATCGGTAAATTACATTTCATTTTTTAGGTCATTTTGTGATGGTTTGACCACAACAAGACCAAAGCTACTTGCCTAGGTGTGTTTTGAAGTGTGGTATAAGTACCAGTAAAATAGATCTTAAAGCCATGCCCAAAAAGTCAACTTTATTGCCAATCTTCCAGTTTGTGTGTACAGATCAGAGGGATCGAAATACCGTTTCCCACCATCCCGAATATAAAAACAAATGTATATAAAATATGTAACGTATACATTTGTTTTTATATTCGGGATTGTGGGGGGAAAAAGAAAGGAAGAGTAGATTATGTTGCAATCGTTACAATACATTAGCTAATGTGGATCTAAATAAATAAATAAATAATCAAACAAGCAAATCCTGCCAAATAAAGAAGAACCTACCTGCATGATCCAACATCATGAAAGGCAAGTGTAAAACTATTAATGCTTTTTGGCCATTTAATAAAGCAATCAACAGCAGTTTGACAGTCTTTCAAAATACACAAATGCTTAGATGTTATTCACAGGAGAATGTTTTTTTCTACAGTGCATCATGAATGCCTCTTGGTTTTATATCTGTGAGTAGAAATTCATTACATATTATGATAAAGTCTAATATGTTCGGACTGTGGCTAACCTTACCTGGTAAAGTGATATTAGCATTTCTACCCTCTGCTGGCTGGGGAAGAAACAGTTCCTTGCAGTTCACCCTCAGGGGCTCATCAGTATCTGCATCTCTGAACATCCATGGGTGACCTGGGGAAACCATTCGTAAAACTTTTTTTAATGAGTGTGTATTACAAAGCAGACAAGAGATTGGGCACATATTGTGTACCTTTCAGATATAATGTGTTTACTCTGTAATGTTGTAAAAGCTTGCAGTGGTGGGCACTGGGAAGTACCTACGTAAATGTACGCAAGCACTGTACTTAATCACAATTTACAACACTATTGTACTTTTTTTTTGATTACTTTATTACTTTGAAGATTTCTATTTATTGAAAGAATATATAAATCAACAAATAGTATATCAGTTATTATTTTAGGTCAGATTCACTTTATTGATCCCTTGGTAAAATTCCCGTTTTTACTTTTAACATTTATAGTATATTTAATAATAATAATACTTTTGCACTTTTAATTTTAATGGAGTATTTTTAAGCTGTGGTCTTACTACTTTTACCGAAGTAAAGGATCTACAAATTCAAGATTCAAGGTTTATTGTCATAACATATACAAAACTACGGTATAATTATGTAATGTATGAAAAACTTAGATCGCAGGTTCCAGTGCTGCACTCTCGCAGGACAGTTTGTCTCTGCTTGCCACAACATGAGAGATCAGACTGACTAAGATCTCGCAACTTTTTATTTGTATCATTATTTTCTTATTAATGTATTATATGAATTATCAGCATTATCCTACACAATAATTAAAAACTCACCTTAACTTTTTCGGTACCACTTTACAATAAGACTACCCTTATAAAGGATTCATAAAGGGTTTATAATTAGGTTATTATTTAGGTTGTAAACACTTTATTAATCAATGAGAACCATTTATAAACCGGTTCTAACATGTCAACACAGGCTCACTATTTGGCAAGATGACTAAACCTTATATTGGCTACTTAGCGAGAATCAACTCAGAGAGCAACAGATACCAAGGATGTTGGCTGATGAAGAAGACAAAGGAAGCTAAGTGGCCAATATAAGACTTAGCAGTACAGATAAATGTGGGCTCTCTATTTGGCAAGCAACCGGTCACAGGTGCCCTGTTTATCTCATGTCTTATAAAAGCTTATTAATGACTTATAAATTTCTCACAACCTAATTAATAAATGAATTTCAAACTATTCGTAAACCCTTTATAAGGGCAGTCTTATTGTAAAGTGGTACCACTTTTTCTATTGTTCTGTGGGTTTTTTTTCAATTTCATGTTGAAATGTATATTGTTTTCCTTGTAAAGAAAGCATGATATTCTTGCTTCTGTTCAAAATATTTATGAACATAACAGCACATGCCACATATAAATGTACAAAGCTTTGGCAATAGTGTATGTATGCCATAATGGTTATGCCAATTAAGTTCAATTTAATTGATCTGAATAACATAACTTGATCTACATTTGATAACCTTTAATATTAAAAAAGATGCCTTAGCCAATATAAAACAAAAATATATCCTAGTAGTTTACTAGCTGCAACAATAAAGTGATGAACAATATAAGATATTACTTTCAATTATGCCGATAGAGTATTCTTACTTTTAAATTGTACGGCACATTTAATAATAATAATAATAATAATAATAATACTTTTGCCTTTTTATTTGTTATTTCTAAGTATTTCTAAGCTGTTGTATTACTACTTTTACAAAGGTGGTAAAAGTACTCAGATCTTGTACTTGAGTAAAAGTAGAAGTACCAGAGTGTAGGAATACTCTGTTACAAGTAAAAGTCCTGCAATCCAAAGGTTACTCAAGTAAAAGTACAAAAGTATTGGCATCAAATAAATACTGAAAGTACTAAAAGTAACGGGTCAATAGGCAGATCGACCTATTTCCTTATACGTTTTGATTATAATTATTGATCATTAAAGTTTTATCAAAGCTGGTAAACCTGCAGCTAGTTTGAATGACTTTGTATACTGAAGGGTAGCTTGTGAATTGTACGTTAAGTCAAGTGTTGATAATACTTCAACATTATTAATCCAAATCTGCAAAGTAAGTAAAGTTATACAATAACTGTAGTGGAGTAAAAGTACATGATTTACCTCTAAATTGTATGGAAGTAAAGGATCTTAATAACGGTACATTTGATAACTTGTATTATTGAATTCCTTACCGATGAAGGTGGCTATTTCCCGTCCCGTTCCTGGCTGTATATCCACGTATGCCTGAGGTTCCCCGCGGTAATCTATCCATAGTGGTCGCACGACACGGGGACTGAAGTTACGAAACACCACATTAATGGCTATTAAACTGTTGAGGGAGCGGACCAGAGGAATAGACGGTTCACCCTCCTGAGGCATTGGTGCAGCTGGTTAACGCTTAGTACTTCAAGTAGTGAAATTAGCCGTGTAGCTAACGCTAGCTAGCAGCTGGGAGGATATCCATGAATGTTGCCTGCTATCGACACACGGAGACCTTAGAAATAATGGTAGTTGTATCACTCTTTCTATCGAATTACATTACATCGTTCAAAAAAAGGAGCGAGTACTTCAGCGACAATACAACTGGAGAACTGTCTCTTCGACAATTCTTCTAAATGTCAACTACTTTGTTTATATTCCCTCTTCCGGTTGAAAGTACTGGGAAGTCAAACTGTACTGTGAGGTGATTGGTCGAAAGGCGTGATGACGTATCAGTCTCTGAGAATGCGGTTCATGTTCAAAACAAAGTGGTATACTGTTTTTTAAGTAAAACTTTACTATCATGTTTTCAAGAGGTATAATTATGTTCATAATAAGACAATTAAAAACGTTCAAACTATTAAAAATAAGTATTCTTAACTCTAGCCCTGGCTATAATGAGGCATGAAATGCACTTGATAAATGATTACTTCAATAATAAATTGGTCAGGGGCTTTAAATCACATTACATGCATACGAATTACATTATGGTGACAACAGTCTTTTCACCTGTGAGAAGTATTAAGACTTATTTGCTTGGTATTCAAAGTACTGAATGAATCGAAGCTCCACCCAGTTTAATCCTCACATAAAACAGGGCACAGATATACAAGACCACCCTCCTCCCTGGAGATTATTCCCAACCCGAGCTCGAACACGTCAGTATCCCCTCCGGCACTATTTTAAAAACACATATTCATAAAGGTAAGTAGAAATACTTGTTATGAAATGCTTTTCTGACAAATAACTGTGATTTAATAGCTTCTAAAAATAGAAGAAGAAACTTTTAATTCAGACTGAAAAGCGTGCATCGTTGTTCCACTAACACTGTTTATGTTTTGAAACAAGTAAAAGTTTTAATAGCCTAAGTGTTTATTTTTGTATTATCCCACAGCAGCCTGTTTCTCAGCCCAGGCAACATGTGTTCTCTGAATGACAGTAACTCTGTGGATGCGGGGGACGTGGCGAGGGATGAGAGTCTGGCTCGGTTGGAGATCGCGCTGCTCAGTGTCATCTTCATCAGCGCCTCCATCCTCAACACCTCCCTGTTGCTGGTCCTCCGGCGACAGCGCAAACAGATGTCCCGGATGCGCGCCTTTGTCTTCCACCTGTGCCTGGCGGATCTGGTGGTCGCTTTCTTCCAGGTGTGCCCGCAGCTCATATGGGACATAACAGACAGGTTCGTCGGACCAGACCTGGTGTGCCGCCTGGTGAAGTACCTTCAAGTTCTCGGAATGTTTTCATCTACTTACATGATCGTTGTGATGACTGTTGACAGATACCAAGCTGTCTGCAACCCGATGGTGAAGTTCCAACGGACAAGCACGAGACTTAACATCCCTGTGTGCTTGGCGTGGGGGGTTTCTCTGCTTGGCAGCCTGCCACAGATCTTTATTTTCGCACAGGTCGAGGTTGCACCTGGTGTGTTTGACTGCTGGGCCGATTTTATCCAGCCGTGGGGGCTACAGACTTACATAACCTGGACCACGCTGGTCATTTTTATTTTGCCTGTTATTACACTTGTTTTTTGTCAAGTGCGCATCTGCCGAGTCATCCAGATCAACCTGCACCAAAAGACTCAGCAGCAGCGCAACGTGGGGCTGCCTCTGCCCTCCAGAGCCAGCGGTGTGGCCGGCATGTCCAAGGCAAGGGTGAAGACACTGAAAATGACGGTGGCCATCGTGCTGGCTTATATTGTCTGCTGGGCTCCTTTCTTCACAGTCCAGCTCTGGTCCGCCTGGGACGCGCATGCACCAAAAGAAAGTAAGTCATTATGATATTTCTGACAGATGCTCAGTTTGATCTGGTTATTTTTTATGATTTTAACTGAGTTTCATTTTGAGTTTCCGTTTCAAAACGTTATCAGTAATGGCATAAAGATATGAGAGAAATGCGCATTTACGCACAAGATATTCATTAGGTGGAAAACACAATTTCTTTGCAAGCACATGATGATTTTAACTTGTTCTGTCTCTCCAGCTGCGACTTTCACAATCCTGATGTTGCTCGCCAGTCTGAACAGCTGCGCTAATCCCTGCATCTACCTTATGTTCAGCGGCCACCTCCCGAAGAGGCTGATGAGACTCCTGTGCCATCGGCAATCTGACGGCAGGGATTCAATCCACGAAGAGGTGACGCTGGTCAGCACACTATATATGAGCTTCAAAAATGTCTCCGAGTTAAAATGAAGGCAATGCGCAACAATCTGGATATAGAAAAAGTGGAGCAGCCGGTGAGCTTTCCCTGCATTGAAACAACTGTTTCTTCAGAACAGGAGCGACAGAGATAAAAAAAAAAAAGCACTTATATGTCGACATCCCTGTGTTACAACCTGCCTTAAGGCTGGAACAAATAGGGAGGCCACACAGAGTTAAATGCCAAATATATGTTTATTTAACATGTTAACAAAAAACACTTCTGAAGAATAGTGTAAGTAAGAATCAGACTGTATAGTGTCAGCAGTGTGTGGGTGTGTGGAAGGGTGTTGTATTATGTTGGAGGGTGCATCAAACCTAACACAGGCTGTAGTCTGAGGTTGCTGCAGCATGGAGTATGGACAGTATGTAAATAACATTATGCCATCATAATTTTATGACTGTGTTTTTACCTCACATTTATTGTAAGCTGTATTTAAGCTTCATGAACATTTATCTTTTAGACAGATTCAATGATTAGATGTCATGCTGTAAGGATAAAGGAAATCCGTGTATTGCAAAAAATTGTATGTTGTGGATTCTTTTGTTATGCAAAATGCCATTTCAATGCAATACCTTGTATCACAGTTGTTTTGGTTGTAGTCCAATACCTTAAAGATAAGAATTACCTAATCTTATTCTCTTTCATTTGAAAAAATACTTGATTACAAAGACTTAAAACAACTGTGTTTTTGTAAGAAATACACATTGCTTAGTGATGAAATGGAATCCATAATCCAAAATAACTGTTGCAGTATTTTAAAATGTTGAAATACCTTTTTCACATAAATAAATGTGCTTGTTGTGAAAAACGGTTTTTAAATCACAGCGAGCCTAAAATATTGTTCAGGCTACAGAAAGCAAGTGTGGAAAAAAGTCATTTTCTTGCAACTGCTGTCTTTTAACTTGTTAATAATTAAACTTCAGTGCCTAATGACAAAAAGGAACAAACTATTAATCATATAATTCATTAAGTAAAAACATGGTTTGCATTGAGTCATAAGATTATTTTACCCATTTAAAGAGATATTAAGCTATTTTGGGCTCTTTGCTGTAACTATTACATTTCCCCTCTGTGGGACGAATAAAGGTATTCTGAATCTGATTCGGTTTCTGATTTACATGTATCCATTATGTATATGCATACATGGATACATGGTGAATCCATTTATATAACAGGTGATAGTAATAAACAGAGATTAGCCAGATATAAACCTGTTGTATGTCAAACATGGTAGTGCATAATATGCTGCACAAAAGAAGATATTTCCATTGAAGGAGCATACCTGCCACAGCCTGAAAAATGTCATATGCATCAACAGCAGATTTACAGAGAATGGCCCATTTATATTCAACCACACCCAGGAAGCCTTTTATTTTATTTTTGCAATTAATGTGTCCAACAAGGCAGAAATGCTCCATAAGTATATCAGACTGAGGTCATTCATTTCATTCTTATGTGTCACCTGCGTTAGGGTCACTTAGGATTTGTTTCCTGAAAGAATATTGCAGCATCTTTATGGTTATTATTATCCATGTGATGACCACACCAGCAGCCTCACTAATGCATGGGAATTATTTTCTTCTCCATTTGGTTTAAGTTTAATTTATAACCCAGACAAATATTCAAATTGGTAGATAACTGGACTGTACACATACATTTCTGTTTTTATAAGAGACGTCTTATTAGTAATGTTTGTAGAGCTCGTAAGTTGTTTATGTGTCTTAAAGTTAATAGTTTCCCTGGTGGTTGCTGTTGGTAGTTGTCTGGCTGGCTAACAACATGACAACCATAATATGTTTGCCCCAAGTTTGGCAAGGTGCTTTGTGGTGCTCATGTGTTGTAAAAGTAACAAAATAAATACAATTATTAAAAACAATCTAAAATCCTACTGCCAAAAAATAACACCAGCATCAGAGTGCCGACTAAATTGATGAACACAGGCTGTGAACAAATGTGTTCTTGGCAAAGATATAGTATAAACAAGATAAACTGTATTGTATATAAGAGCATAGCATTATCTGACATATGTACAATTAAACCTAAAAAGACCACTTTAGATTGTTTTAAGCAAGTTAGATGAAGGCTCTCTTTTCTGACTGTAAGTAAAGACTGCCTTACAACAAATTGTGGTAAAACAAAATGTAATGAGGAGCGTTGAAATTAATACATGTTAAGATGAGTTGCAGCTAATGAATGTCTCGTGTTATATTGAGCACATTTGCTTCTGTTAGTTTTGTTGTGTTCACTTTTTATCAGCTCAGAATTATCCTCAGAAATATGTTTGCTTTGTATTTACCTTACATGGAGACATTTTTAATTTTTTTTTAAAAACCATTTGCTGTGACAAACCAAATACCCAAATATTGGGTACCCATATGTTGTGTAGTCCAGGATTTTTTGTCACAGTGCTTTTACCTTTCTGCTTGTGAGCAATCCTCCTGGTAATCTCGCTCCAAAGGCAAAGTCAGAGCATTTGGTTGTTTTAGCCCTGAAGGTGTAAAAACTGGTAAACGGGTGAAGACACCGAGTTGCTCCAGGACAACATGAGGCAGATGTTTGCCAACATGAGGGCTTAAACCAATATCCTGCTGCTGGAGAGAAACAAACTACATCACCCTATATATGGTTTCTCTGCCACATCATTATACTATCTCCTGTTGCAGAAACATTGTACAGTAGATGAGGAAGTGTTGAGCTCTTGTAAGTCCAACATTTTAAGTCAAATATAATTAATATCCACTTAGAGCTGCGTTACTTCAGTTGATTTGTTGTTTGAAATGGTTATGGGAAACATGTTATGTTTACCAACCAAATTGACATCAACCAAACAGGTGATATGTAGTTAAAGTTCATCCATAAAATGACCATTTTGTAATCAATCGTTTTTCTCTCAGTGACAGTGAATGCATGAATCAAAGAATGGATGAAAGTCCCGATTGTTTTGTTAAAATGTTGCTTAAACCTTACTATATAGTACTCCCCCAACAACACTTAATTACAGGGGTCAGTAGCCTGCCTTCTGTTTAGGCAGAAGTCTTTCAAATAAAACGTGTGTAACTCAAATGCCAATGTTGGGGAATTATGACTGATGTTCCGAAGGTTGTCTTCTACTGCCACAGTCTAGTCTGTCTTTGAATAAAAAAGAAGCGCTATTAAATTCCAAAACATAACTTGAAATGCCACGGAAAAAAAGTATTTAGCATTTTAGATAATAAATATTGAGAAGTCACATGTTGCATGCAGGGGCGCCGCCAGGGATTTTGGGCCCCATGAAAAGATATCACGTTGGTTACTTAAACATTTTTTTCTTAATGTTCTAAAATTGTTTGGGCCCCTGTCAGTCACGGGTCCTTAGAATCGTCCTAACTTTTCACCCCCTTACGGCGCCCCTGGTTACATGTCCTAAACAATATTCATGTCATTATGCTCTTCTCTAAAGGACACTCACATGTGCAGATGTTCCCACTCGGAGACTCATTAGACTATCACTGCCGGCAAACAATGATCTGCTGCCCACGTTATCTGCACAAAATGATGAATACACCGCAAACTCATTATTTGGAGAAAGCACACAAAAAAAGCATATCTCAATTTGCCAGTAGATGTGAAGATTTACAAATTCTCAGAGGACTATTATTCCCATGTTGTCAAGCTCTATTCATCACCTCAACAAGGTCTCTTCTCACACAAACGTTATCTGAATTCTTTGAAATTGATGCATCTGGAACATATGACACAGTAAACATACACAGGAGGAGAACTGCATATTTATTTTACTCTTTTATACACCGATTGTCATGGAAAAAGGAGAAACAGCTTTCTTTGGAAACGGGTAATTCAATTCTTCTGTGAAGCGTACATTTCATTGTTTGAGGTGAATGAAAGTCTGACAGCCTGGTGAACATTGAATAAGCAGTATTACAGAGAACATAACCAAAAGGAGACATTAACTTTTTAGATTATACCTGTTATCTTTCTTCATGAAACACATCGATATACAAAAATTAAAGAGGTCCATTAAACTCAATTTCCAGGTCTTCTCAACGGCATTTTTGAAAATAAAAGTTAGATGAAGCCTTTTCTGGCTGCTGATAGAGCTGCACAAAATCTAATAAATTGCCTCAGGTAAGTCACCATGGCTAACACAACTGAAACTGACTAAATTGCGAGAGGCTGAGTTGCACTATGGGTAATGTAGGCAGCAAGTAGAAGCAAGAAGAATGTCCGGACTAAAAATAATGAATATCTCCTACGGTACTGATCCGTTTTGATTCCCAGTGTTATAGGAGTGCAAAGTGAAATATGTTTTTAAGGAAAGATAACAACAAAAATAAGATTATTTAAAATATTAATCCGAAAAAGTCCCTGCATGAAACCACTGAGTAATTATCCTTTATCATTAGAGTCGATATTTCCCTCGCTGAGTGTCAACAAAACTCAGGAATGTACACCCGTATGACATACTGCTTGCTTAGGCAATAAGGTTTACATCATATCTTTTTTTTATTGACAGCTACCGCCTTTTAGTTATGACTCCCGTTGACAAAATGTATTCCTTTGAGAAAACATCCAAAAACAGTTAATTAGATACACCAAAATCTTCAATTTTAGATTTTTTTTTATTGCGATCAAGGTTTTTTTTCCCTCTGTTTTCTAAGACATGTAGATATGTGCGACTTAAGAATCCAATTCTACAAACAGTAGAACAACAGTTATACAACACAACAAATGCTATGCTAACGGCCTCTCATTTACAGATACATTTATACAAACATGAGCCAGCGCCTTGCAATAAAAATCGCAAGATGTAAAATCCTGAAAACAGCGACACCACACAACAAAAAACACCTTTCATCAGTTACAATATTGTATTCCTCTGTGGCTCATTGAATCATTAAACTTATCAAAAGACTCTGGGGCGTAGGCACAACATTTTAACATGCCATGCAGCCATACAACATGAACAAACTAAATAAAAATGCTCCTCTCACTCTCTGTGTTAACTAGCTTTAACCTTTTTATAAAAACAGTCCTTCATTAGACTCCAGGTTTTCTCTAATGTTTTCTTGTTTGTTTCCAGAGCACATCATCTGACAGGACAATGGGACCTCAGTTAATACAAAACCGGAGCTGATTATCTCAGGGACTTCACACATTGTCATCTCGTTTGTTGTGATAATATAACTTTCCAATCTTCTGGCATATAAAAATACATCCTATATGATTCCTAGATTCAAAATATACCCTTACAGAAACAAGTCTCCTTTCATCTCCTCCACCACAGCAGCTCAAATCAGAAACATATCAGCCAGATATCTCTATCTCAACTGCATGCAGAAAACCTCTCCATCATACAGAGGAAATTAGTGGAAGGGAAATGATGCATTAAGCATAGCTTTTGTTGTTGTGTATGTCTGCAGCTACCATGGAATCAGATGGACAGCGGTGCAGATCAGCCAGCTGCAAGCTAGGTTTCTAAAATGTGTTATGGACCAATCTGTTGTTGCTCTGTTTTTTCCCCTCGTTTTCTCTCAATGCACTTAGTTGTCTAACTGCTGCCTCCACTTCTCAATAGCTTCTAAGGACAATAGTTCCCTCCTGGTCTAAATTGAGTGCCATTTAAAGGCTAACTGACCTTTCCACTAATATGATGGATTTACTGCCATGGGTGACAGGTGCTGTGTTGATTAGTGACAGTAATTGTAGTGAGAGAGTGCATGGAGATTTAGGATTTGGGGGTCTGTAGGGTTTTTGTTGTTGTTTATTGACGATACATGATGGTGCGTCATCACAGGCAGAAGAGGCGAGAGCCCTCTCTCCCCTCCTCCACCTCGCCAAGGGGGATGCGGGGGAGCAAGGCCGACCGGGTCAGACCCCAGAAGCGAGGCGGAGACAAGTGCTTCTTGGTGGCGGTGAACCTCCAACCCATGTGAGACCCACAGGTGCGACACTGAGCAATGGTCCAGGCGTAGCTGAGAGCAAAGAAGAGCACACTATTTATTAAAGACAAGATATATAACATTATTATATTTCTTATACCTTATTAAAAAGTACAGAATCTATGAACATTTGAAAATATTGTTCATAAAACTGAACTACTTGACACAAGATGTCGTCTAATTCCCTGGAAAGTAAGTCTTCAGTGTGTGCTCCGGAGGTTTAAGTTTGCTCGTAACACCTGTACAAGTGGCATTTTAGACGCAAATGGCTTACAAACTTTATGTTAAACCGGCCTTTTAGAGTAAAACTACTCATGCATCAGTCCGCACAGTGAAACTCAAACAGTGTAGCAGTGGGAAAAAAAATTTTTAATTTAGGGGGGCTTGAATTGTAATGTTTTAGTCTTTAAAAGGGTTAATATTGTGGCTCGTTTAAGCAGTCACGGCTAATCCTCAAGCATCAAGATGTCCTTCGAAAATTCTGAAACAGCGTTGAGAGTTTGGGAAACACAGTTACAAAGAAAGGGGCTAATGTTGCACGAAAAGTGTCCAATTTATAAGATGTGCAAATGGAATGCTAATGTTTGGCAGTGCAGTCAGAGGTGTGTTTCCATTTTGTCTTTGCAATGGGATTTACATCGGTTTTTTGTTGTATGATTCCACAGGTTAAATGGTCATGCAATCATTTTTCTTCTTTTTTTATTTAAATTGGTCCCTGAGTAATGATTGTTAAAACATATTTTCTGTGAAATATCCCTTTAAAAAGGACTTTTTTCATTAATTAAATGCAACCCATTATGCAAAATTCATACTTGCACTTACTTAGTATGTGTCATTCAGAAACAATCATTTAGACACTAATAAATACCTTTTATTATCTATATCTATATACTTTATTCATTGCAAATACTTAATGTTGTCTTCTAATGTTTTTTTCTAAATGCAATAAGAAACCTATGGCAAAGTGTACCATGATTTCAAAAACTCTCTTACAAACCAAACAACTAAATGTAGCAGACATTTCTGCAGCACTTGATCTACACAACGTTAAATACTTATTGACACAAGTTCAGAGTATCTTCTCAGGTCTGTGTATTGGTGTGTGTTTTATGATGAGAAAAAGAGAGCCTGGAGGATATCTCTTTCCCCTGCTGCTCTCTACACAATACTGGCATCATACAATGAACACAGGTCACTAAAAAGTGATGTCCTATTGATAAGAAATTACACTTTTGATACTGATGCAACACTGAAAGGCCAAAGGCTTCTGATTTAAGACAATGTAGACTATTCACTTTATGTCACCACACAGTTAGGGAAATATGGAATTAAAGCTTATTTGAGACCCCCAGTGCAATGGGTCAGAGGTTTGTCTCACATTTATGAAAATGCATTTTAAAAGCACTGAAAGGCACAGTGAGAGGTCTGATTAAGTCCATTCACTGTGCGTTAGGTGTTTACATTTACATTATAAGAGAGTCCGAGGGAGGAGTGTGAGCTTAATGCCATGAGTGTTGCAAAGTTACCCTGGAAACCAGCTGTGCAGCGTGGATGGCCGGCCCACCAGGTTGAGGTTGTTGGTTTTGTAGACGGTCAATGTTTCATGGACGTAACCGTGAGGGTTGACGTATGCAGCCATGGGGCCGTTCAGAGACAAGCTGCAGAGAAGGGACAGCAGGTGAAATATTTCATCAGTGATTTTGACACAAAAACACCAGAATGATCCTTTAGATGAAGGAATGAAACAGCCAGAAGCTGATTAGAGACTCCATAAAAAAGAAATAAATGGAACAAAACCTCCTTAAAATAAATCATGCATTTAAAGTGTTTTAATTATGAAAATACTAAACTAAACTAAAAGCTAAGACTTGAGATTTGAAAATGTTATTTTCAGCATTCAACAAGGTGATTATTTAATCGTAAAGGTACTTGCCAAGATTAAAACCACATCAAAAGACACATTTTCAGTCACTTTATTATGCAGCAATTTACTGCACTTCACTTCTGGTTTGGTCCCTAATTTAAAATGCATTAGCTAGGTATGCAGTTCTGTTAGTCTCTACACTTAGAAATCATATTAAACACATAATCATTCATTTACTCTGATTATCTGGATGTGCTCAGACGAAACATTTAATGCACTATTCCTATAAACCTAGAGCTAGGGCCTGGACAGCTTCATCGGCGTTAGAGCTACTGTGTTTGACTCTTGGATAAACACATTAACCATAAAACGTCATAGACAGTTAAGAAATTACATTACATAACAGTGTGTGAGTGTTGGTGCACAAATTAGAGTGTGAAGGACCAATTATGTTTTTGTAACTCCAATCTTAATGCTACTTTTATGTGCAGTTATTATTGTGTTGAAGGTAAAAACAAAACAGAAAAAAGAAATTTAGGCTGCTAGTTTTCTCTCTTTAAATGTGTCAACCGTCTCTTAAAAGCATTTGAATACAACATGCACAAGATGTCCTCACCTGAAGATCTCAGTCTTCGTGGTGATTTCTGTGTCCTGGCACTGCTTACAGCACAGCGATGTGCACTGAGGAGGAGAGATAATGAAGTGTCAAAAATTACTGTTCTCACTGATGACGCTATAATAATCCATCCTTTATGCTTCCACAAGGGGCTGGAAGCTGGCTGACACAAAGTCAGGTATAAATTGTGTGTCCAGTAAGAGTGTAAAGAGAAAAGGAGGATATTACCCGCAATCAGACGGCATGGAAAGAGCAGATAATAGGCAGGCACTTTAAAGAAGCAATTCAAACGTCCGGCGACAGCTTTACAGGAGTACTTAGTGCTTCCTGTCTTTATAACATTAAAATGCACATTGACCTAAATCTAAAGGGATTAGGACTGCAATGATTAATCGATTGGTAGATTTAGTTAATGATTATGATGCTGAATTATTTCTTCGAAATCTGCAGTGAGACAATATTTCTACATTTATTTCAGGTATCTGACAAAATTAACATTTAGTTTTATTTGAAATAACCAAATATATTTTATGTAGGTAAATCATTATACAAAAAGGGCAGAAAGTGCTGTTTTCAGCACATCAAAAACTAAAATTGGTTTGTGATCTTGTTTTAAATTGTTGTTTAGTCATCTTAATCAGGTAATAGCTTGCTTGGTGACATGATGACACTTATTACAGGTATTAGAAAACATGTAGGTCCTGGTGCTGAGGAAATAAGCATGAAATCTTAAATATACATTAACGTTGTTCTGCTGTGTGAATGACATGATGATATTTTTGGAAAGTTAAAATCACCATGCTCAAAGTGACAAACAGATCATGTATACTGCTTGTTTATTAGAGATCTGTTAGATCTGTTCTGTTACTAGTGATTCAATTAATCTTTGCTTACTCTAAATTGTTTATGAACAGTTTACATTGTGATGGCCAAGTTCAGACTGAAATATCGCAGCAAAACATCCCCTGACAGGCATAGTTGACATACCAAAGAACACCAGAGGAAAAAAGGTCTTATCACACAGCGAGGGAGAGGATGGCTGCACAGCCAGAGGAGGAAGGGGCAGTAGTGAGGGGTTGGTGGTGACCCTTCCTTACCCGGTCCATGATGTCCAGCTCACAGCGAAGTCTCTGGATGGCACTGCCGATCTTCAGCAGTTGGAGCCGCAGAGCGTCGTCTATGGGCAGACAGGCCGCTACTCTGTAGGAAAAGTCTGACACAAACCAGACAGAAAGGCAGAGACAGGGATGAAAGGGAGGAAAGGACAAGAGTACAAAAAACGCAAACAAAGAGACGTACGTGCGCATGTGCGAACGCGTCTGCTATCCATCTGTAACACATTGAACAGAGGCTGACCTACGGCGTTCGTAGGGAGGGAGTCATCCTTCAGGTTCTCGTCCCATTCATGGAGCTGTTTCTTCACTCTGTTCATGAGCGACTCCTGTGTGGTGGTACACAGGAGGTTGAGAGACCATGGTTTACATTCACTCCTAAGTTATGTTTATCTATGGAGGAAATTCCAATGCACACGGGCCGCAGTACTCACAGAGTCGTAGAGTGCGTAGACCCAGGGTGGCCATGGCGTCAGGCTGGCACAGTGAAACTTCCTCTGTGAGGAACGACAGACGACACATTACCCAACTTTATCTTCATTTGACAGTTTCCCTTTGCTATCCACATTGTTAATACACGTTATGGTTAAAAGTATGTGGACTTTCAAACATCACACCCACGACAATGTTCCTGTGTCAAGAGTTACATGTTGAAAATCCCAGGCTTCCACAACTTAAAAGCCCAAAACTATTTAAAGAGGCCCTTTCATTCTTTATTGGGTCTCCCTTTAAGTGTTATTCCCTGTGGTTATGTAGGTTTTTGTGAATGTAAATAGTCTGCAAAGGCTAAAATCCCAAAGTCCCTCCCCCCTCCGCCTGAAACGCCTCCATTGGGCTCCTTTGTTTACTTCCGTACATCGTGACATCACTATGTAACACTCACGCTTTTATTGGCTAGCGCTCCAAGACATTTTACATGATAGGGTAAGGGGCGGGACATCTCTAAACGGTTGGNGAAATTAAATCCTGGATGCAAACTATCTTCAACTGAACAGCGACAAATCAGTTATTATCATAATCTGACCCACATCCCGCACCAACACCACCCAGAACTTCAACCTCACCCTTGACAATGCCACTCTAACCCTCTCCTCACATTCGCAACCTTGGAGTAATTTTTGACAGAAGTTCTGGGTGGTGTTGGTGCGGGATGTGGGTCAGATTATGATAATAACTGATTTGTCGCTGTTCAGTTGAAGATAGTTTGCATCCAGGATTTAATTTCTGAGAGACAGTTGGTGAGTGTGGAGTGAGTTGTGGCAGTGATGTTTTTTGTAGAGATGTAGAGTTGGATGTCGTCGGCGTAGCAGTGATACTGAAGGTTATGGCGGCTGATGATTTTTCCAAGGGGGAACATATAGAGGATGAAGAGGAGGGGACCAAGCACCGAACCCTGGGGGACGCCTTGGGACAGAGGGGCAGTCGAGGAAGTGCAGTTATTGATGTGGATGAACTGGTTTCTGTTGGTGAGGTAGGATTTCAGCCAGGAGAGTGCAGTGTCGGTGATGTTAAGTGATGATTCCAGGCGGGACAGCAGGATGGTGTTGTTGATGGTGTTGAACGCTGCTGTGAGGATGTGGATGTTGAGGTTGCCGGAGTCTGAGGAGAGGAGAAGTTCGTTAGTGATTCTGAGGAGGGCTGTTTCTGTGCTATGTCTTGTGCGGAATCCTGATTGAAAGGTTTCAAACAGGTTATTGGAGCTGAGGTGGGATTTCAGTTGGGAGGCTACAACACGTTTGAGTAGTTTTAATAGGAAGGGGAGATTCGAGATGGGCCGGAAGTTGGACATGATGTCAGGTGTGAGTCCAGGTCTTTTCAGTATGGGTGTAACAACAGCCAGTTTGAGTGAGGGGGGGACTGATCCAGAGCAGAGGAGTTCATGATTGAGTTGGGAGATGGCAGGGAGGCATTCCCTGACAAATGTTGTTGGTATGGGGCCCAGAGTGCAGATGGAGTTCATTCCTGCCATGAGGTTGGACAGTTGCATTGGTGTCAGAGGAGGGAACCGGGATAGGGGCTGTGAGGTGAAGGGGGAAGCCAGGAGGGGAGATGGGGAGGGCTGGCTGAGGAGGTCAGGTTTCTATAAATGCTGTCGATTTTGGATTGAAAGAATGAGAGTAAATAATTGTACTGTGCGGTTCTGAAGGATGGAGTGGCGTTGTCACAGGGTTTAAGGAGTGTGCTGATGGTGAGAACATAGCCTTGGGGTTGCTGGAGCCGGAGTGTATCAGTTGTGAGTAGTTGGACCGGGCTGCTTTGAGTGCGTTATTGTACTGTTGTAGGTAGTCAGTGTAGGCATGGAGATTAACTGTTAGAGTGGCTTTCTTGTGAAGGCGTTCCAGTTGGCGTTTTTGTGATTTTATTTGGCGGAGTTCNGTGTGTGTGTGTGTGTGTGTGTGTGTGTGTGTGTAGCTCCGCAGTGTTACATCACTATGACCAGGAAGAAAAAAATGGAAAAAGAAAAATCTCCAACCAACAAGGCGTTCTGGGGCAGCACGGCAGCACAGATACAGGTCTTTTCTGTGTAAGAGTTGTATTTGCTACAGGGTGTATTTTGAGGGTTTGTGACTTTGCAGACCGTTTACACGCATAAAAAGCTACATAACACACAAGGGGACGGGTAATAACACTCTATGGTAATAACCAGAAAAGCATGACATGGGACCTTTAAGATAAAAATGCAGTTATAAAATGCAGTTATGAAAATGTATCCTATATGAGTTATTTCCTAAGTGTAGTTTTCTGTAAACCCGCAGTTACACATTATTTAATTTAATGTATCTGGTCATAATAAAAATTTGTTATAAAGACAGAGATGCTTAAATGTGTGAATGTCTAAGCACAGCAATATAATACAATATTGAAAGATGGACGATAGAGACAGAGATGTATTTCCAAGAAAAACAGCTAAACCCAGCAGCCTACAACAAAATACTGAATGAACCTTAATAATATCCTGGATCGCCAAGAAATAACCATATCAATAGTAAGGTTTGACTGTCGAAACCTTATACTTTATTTATCTGATTCTCAGATGTTAACTTAATAAATTGATGTAAAACTACGAGACATATTCTGCGACACATAATGGCTACCATTGTTTTTAATTGAAGTTAGCTAATGTTATCTAGCGTCACCTGGGGGTGTGTCAATCGGTTTATATTGTTAAGATTGGTGAAATTAAAAATTAAACCTAGGTAACGTTAGCTTTAATAATTTGTAAACATTCTGGCAGTGTTTGTGGTTGTTTGTGCAGCGATCTGCTCTAACCTTGGAGGAAAAGACGCTGACACTGCAGTCATCGGAGATGTGTTGCTAACCAACGAGGCCGTTAGTTAGCACCTTTACTACAGCCAATTAACCGTTAGCTAACTGTTTTAAGCGGTTTATTCAAAACAGTGACTAAAGATGATTTTCCGTCGTCGAAAATCGGGTTAACAATCACAGTAACTTCTTTATCACGTTTATAGCTAGTCAGTTAAATGCATCGATTCGTTTATTTATCGAGCTTACCGTTACCTTTTCGGGCAAGGCTCAGTAGAAGTTACCAGTCAGTGCAGGAGGTCAAAATAAAACTGCGTCACTTCATCAGTCAGCCACTGTCCGCTCGGTCAGTTACACGATTTAACGTTTAAACCGTTTCTCAACAAAAACAAATTAAAACAACGCTTGATTGACATTATTAAAAGTTGATTCAACTAAAACATGTGGGTTTCAATTATCCGCCAGATGGTGGTAAAGGTTTCTTATTTGGGCCGTTTGAACCATAGGCTTTGAGGCTGAGGTTTGAACCACGGTTTGAACGTAAGCCAAAAACCAGATTGGTCTACATACCTCGCGACATCAATTATACCAACGAGATTTGACAAAATAGCAGAAAGCACCGCGAAAACAGCATTGACCCCAGGCGGGTGAGCAAGTCCAATGAATTGATAAATACGTCACAATTTATTCAGGTCAAAGTGAGGCAAAAGAGATTTAAGGAGTGGAAATGAACACTAGATGTAGTTAGCATAATATACAGGATTGACTCCCACAAAAAAAAAACTGGTTAACACGTCCCATGTCATGGCCATTTCTACTGATCATAATTCCATTGTTGAGGTATACTAAAATAGATTTGTATTGTGCAATTTTCCAAACTCACATTGGTTTCTCATACAGCATCTCTGCATAGTATGTGTCAGCGCCATATGTGTGTGTATTCACTCTCTGTCCTAAACGGCTTGTTGGAGCTCCTGCTACTCCCCTCCTCTCTATGAGCCCAGTGTGCTCTGATTGGTCAGCTCGCCCACTCTGGTCTGATGAGTCCACCACCGTTACAGCGGAACATCAGTGATTATGTGTTACGTTGCGTTAGCAACCAGAAAATGCGCGGAGCTGCAACTGAGAAAAGATTGAGTGTGTATGTGTAAGAGATGGGCGAGTCCTGATTCATCCGGATCATTAACCCGGATCCTAGAAATGAGCTGGTCGTGACGAGTCTCCCCTCTTCATTAACCCGAGTCCTTTGAGTTCTACACCTGGTGTGACGTACAAATTAAAACTATACATTGCGTCACTCGTTACTCTCTTTATAACATGTAAAATAACATTACAACGTACCCCAGTCCATCTGCCTACCCTTTAGCAAGTAGGATAGCTTCCAGAAGTTATCGTTTGGCTCAGGGGAGGGGACGCGGATCAGTGAAACTTCCTGCAGACTCGTGGGGACTCAGAGCCCGAGTCAACAGCAGACTCAGGGATTCGCAAATACTGACTCACTACGCAAAACATAGCAGAATCGTGCGGATTCAGAGCCGTAACCGTAGAGCAGCAGATCCAGAGATCCAGCAGACTCGTCCTCATGCACGAGTCAACAGCAGACTCAGATTAGCCAAATCGCCAAATGACCCTTTTTTTTTGTGACCAACATTTTTTATTAAAGCAAAAGACACTGTGTAGCGGAGGTTAATATAACGTCAGTTTAATATGCTCGTGAAATGCAACAAGTTTTCGGTTTCACCGGTAGGATTCTAATGTCTTGGTGATGCTGACTCAAATGACTCAAATGACTCGTATGATCCGGATCTCTTCAATGACTGACTCAGAAGACCCTGAGTCCATAAAAGGATCCGGAATTGCCATCTCTAGTGTGTGTGAGGAAGTCCGTCACGTTACACAATACGTCACTGTACTTACTACACTATAAGAAGAAAACAATGGAAAAATAAAAATCTCCAACGAGGCGTTCTGGGGCAGCATAGACAGGTCTTTTCTGTGTTCCGAGTTTTACTCGCTACAGGGTGTACTTTAAGAAGTTGTGACTTTGCAGACCGTTACATAAAAAGCTACATAACACACAAAGGGACGGTTAATAACCGGAAAAGCATGACATGGGACCTTTAAATAAGTAATCTAACAGGTACAGCTCTTTATTTGTCCTTATAATAACCCTTCAGGTAGTGTCTTGACTGCTGTAGAGTCGACACACTGATACGATTAAGAGAGACTTAATTACATTCTAAGTGAAATTATATAGTCCTATTTTTTTTGCATTCAAAATTCATTATGACGGATGGTTACAAAAATATTCGACAGCAACACATTTTGTCAGACTTTTGGTAATCCCCGTGAGGTCTTGTAGGCACCAAAGCTGTATCCTTTACCTGCAGCAAGAGATGAAGATTCATCAGTCCCTCAATGATAATGTAGTGAGACACGTATACATGACACATAGTTGTCCCTCTTCAACATGCTTCTTTGGTAGACATTTACAATTATGTGCATCCCTTTTATAAAATACAGAAAAAGGTCATTATTGAGTATTCACTATTGAGTATTTATTATTAAATAATTTGGTCTAATATGTCTTTGAATGTCTTAGTCAGTCATATTTGAGAGGCTGAAAACATTATTTCCTTCCATTTCCATTCAAAAGTACTTAACTTACTTTTAAAAAAATGATCACATACGTCCTACGAGTGGTTAGTTGACTAAACATTGCAGCTTTAGTTCACTGACTTTATAATATATCAAGGTAAAATGAAA